AATTTTTTCTAGTAGCCTCATTTTTATGGGGAATTTCTGCCCCTAAACCTTCATTTTGCGGTTCCCTTTAATGGTTTACTCCTATTATATGGTTTTTATTATTTCTTTCTTATATTTTTGGATACAAACATGTCTAAAACAATGGGTTGAACATTATATTGCAACTATTACATTTTTTTCATAAGAAGAAGACAATTATGACAGGATAATCGAATCACACATTTTATTTTAAGAATTGCACATTTATAAGATCATACTTATGTACATACAAAAATATACTTATCACAATTGTACATATGATATAATATATATTCAAATATTAATTGCACACATAAAACTATCAAGGGCCGATTGGCCATTAAATGTATTTTGCCCATGAAAATGAAACCACCAAAATATATCGAATTTTGAGGTCAATCTTAAAAAAAGAGTCCGATCAGAAATAAAATATGAGATATTTATATTTTTTTAGAAAAATAATATAAGTAGTGACTTTTCTCCTATCATATTTATATATTTTATATATTAAGTAGTACTACATGTGTTGGGGATGGGGGAGGTAGGAATAATTTGTCTCCATTTATTCTACCTATAAATAAGAGAAATAAAGGTGTGTTCAAAGTTAAAAAAAATTTTTAAAAAAATGATTCTTGCAGTATGCTTTCAAACTCGATTTCGTAAATTTCGATAATAAATTAATTTTAGTCTTCAAAAATGAATTAAAAATTTAATAAATTTATATCAGCTAGATAGCATCTTACATTTAGCATTAATATTTATTATTTATATTGATTATTATCTTTTTAGATGTTCTTGTCAAAGAACGAATTTACATGTGATTTTATATTTTGATTTAATAACCTACAATAGTCTACTTTCTTTCAACTTATCCGGGAATGGGGCTATCATAAATGTCTCTCTATTGGGATCATTCTTTACATGCCAATTTTTTGGGTTTCTCAGCATGTATTTGAGCATTTTCATTTTGTTATACCCATAAAATTTTTATCTGACTTTTGTTAAGCACAGCATTTGACTCCCAATATTAAAGCCGAGTGTTTTTACTAGTCTTGAATTTTTAAAAATAAAATTTCGCTCACAACTCTACATTTTCATTTTTCTCAGGCTATTTTGTCTTTCGTAGCTCAAATGACTTCAAGATAACGCGTGTACCAAATAAATGATTAATCTTTTATACCATATATTTCTTTATGTTTGTACCAAATTATATCTTCCTTTTAGTGAAATTCAAGTTGCCATTTCAATTTTCTTCTTTAGATAAATACTTGTTATTACCAGTTGGAGTTAATTTTATCATATGTTATTTAATTTTTGTTTATCTTATAATCCTATCCAGAATTTTGCTGTGGGGGGGGGCACTATTAGATGAATTTGTTCTCCATAAATTTTATTAGAGATCTTTTTACTAATTTTTCTAACAAAATCTTACTTGTAATGGTGTATTGTATACATATTTTTTGGAGATGGTTTGTAAGGGGTAAATTTTTATTTATGATAGCATACAAATTTGCTATAGGGGAATCTTCTTCCCTCCGGTTACGCCGATCACAGATTTTATTATCAGTATTTTCATTTAACCCGACCATTAAATCTTGATAAATGAGGCAAATGATGTTGTATTTCCCTCTCAATACATATTCGAATTGTGAAACTTTCTTCAAAGACTCATAAATACCTTTGATATATATTTTATCAAAATGCTTCTGATACAAATATTGAATATTCGTTATAAGCTCGTTATTCACTGGAAACCGTTACGTCAAACTATTTATAATTTGATCAATTATAGGACGAAATATTTAAACAGTATATAGGTCAATTAGATCTGTGGAGGTTCATCTTTGCTTTCATTTCTGTCCATCCTCCTTGTTCGACTTATTCTGTTTTTTAGTATTTCATTTTATAACCAAATGCTATATGGTAGCTTTTAATCAAAAATATTTTCCCTAAATATGTTGCCATGTTTGTAGCTTTATCTTGAATGGGTGAAGGTTATAAAAGATATAGAAAACTTGGCATCCTTGATCATTCCAAGCCGATAAAGTATTTTAATTTTTGGCTTGGTGATATAACAAGAAATTTCGGGGCCCACCATGTTGTTTCACCTATTTTGGAACCTTCACAATTAATTAAAAGAATAGAGCATCTATTTTTTATTGATGCATCAATCAGCAGATGTCTTGTGTACAATATTTTCCAATCTTTTGCTACTTCTTTTTTTTATTAAATTCCTAATTTTACCTTGAACAGTATTGATAATTTTATTAACAGTGGTCTTTGCCAAAAAAGTTATTAGAGAACCTCTTCACTTGGAATTTTATTTATTGGAAAATTTTAGCTTTCTTTTTCTACGTTATGAAAATCTACTTCTCTAAGGGATCTATGAGTATTTTATTATAATTTGATATGATTCATATCATCTTAAGGAGATTGCCATAATTCATATTTTCATTTTATTGAGCGTTTTATTGTTGTCTGATCTTATATAGGATAAGTTTTATTTGCCTAAAAACTTTATTATCTTAAATATATGTTTTGTTAACCTTTCATTTATTATTTTTAAGCTAATTAAATTATATTTCTATATAGTTAAAAAATAATGTATAAAACGTAAAATAATCAAAACTTAATTTCCATTTAAAAATGCAAACGCATATTTTATGAAAAAATCAAAAACCCACAAAATAGTAATATCTAAATGATAATCCTTAATAGGGATCTGCATCGGGCCTAATTTTTCAAACTCGGCCTGAGATTTTTTTTAAAAAAGTTTTACCGTTCAGGCCCGGCCCGAATTTATTTAAATATAGAAATTAATTTTTTGAAATATTATAATTACTCAAAATAAAAGATATATGTCATATGATGTCTAGTTTCTATAAATAAAATAAAATGTTTTTATTTTACATAAAAAAATTCGACATAAAAGTGATGAATTTAGATATATTTAAAAAAATTCCCAAGACCCAACCCGGCTTGATTTTTTTTAAAATAGATTAGGCCCGACCTAACCCGAAACCGATTTTTTTTAAAAAAATGTTCGTACCGGGTCTACTTTTGCAGATCTCTAATCCTTAATATGTATTGATATGATCAGCGCAGCGTATGCTTGACAGAACATTTGCTGAAAGCAACCCCCCCCCCCCGTCCAATATTAACCCCTACACCTATAACCCCCCCCCCCCATTATATAATAAAATAAATCTTATCATGAGCCACTTTATTAAACATTAACTGGTAATTAAAAATATTAGTTGGTAATAATAAACTAGTTGAACCGTATTCTAAAAATTAGTTACGAGCGTGTATGAATTTTAAACTACTAAATGCATGATTTGAAATTTTATTAACCTTAAAATCAAAATAAATAATAATTAATAAATTAGAATACTTTTACCAGTTTTTTTTCTCTAATGTACAAATAGTGATTTTTACTTATATTACTCACTAGCCTAACTTCTTTGGATGCATATCCCCTATCCCCCTTTGAAAAATATGCCCCTGATGGACAGCTATTTTCTAAAGTAGATAGGTAATGGTCAAAAAAGGATCTAAGATGATTTAATTTATTCTCATTAGATTAATTAATATTTAATTGAATAAATCATGATATTTATTGGTATTTGATATTGTTAAAATATATTATGCTTCTATCTCAAATTATAATATACCAAAATAAGGTTCAGACTCCGTAGTCAGTACTATAGTCCGATTCGGTAATCACTGTACAAATAAATTAATGTAATTTTTATTTGAAAATAAATTACAGTTTATTCAGCCTAAGACCAATTCAATATTTGTGTCATAAAAAATTTTCGAACGCTATTTTATAATAAAAACAAATAACATATTTACTAAAAAATATGATTTGGTTTCTTACTTTTATTAATAAAATATCAAATTTTTTGAAAGCGTGAATGTTAAATTTTAAAAATAACTATATAATTTTATGTCGATATATAAAAAAATGAGCTTTAAAAATCTATTATCAAAAATATCGAAGATTTATTGTATTTACTGTTACAAAATTATCTTATTTAAAAGAAGGAACCCCTGAACTTTTATAAACCATAACGGAACCTTTGTACTATGTCGCTAAAAGGTGCACCTAATGTATATAATTTTTTCGGAACCGGTTTAAACCTTGTTCAATATAACATATTTATAAATCTATTTTTTTTAAATAAATATTTATTTATTACTTATTAAGATATGACTAGAATAGTGGTGGGAAATCAATTTGCTTTGTTAAAGCTAGTTCATGATTATATATTCATCGTTCAAATTTTCTTTAGATAGCTATAAAAAAAATTGTATAACCAAAGAGAATGTTCAATATAATATGCCAGATATAAAGGCTCGCATCAAAATCAGTGGGGTATCAAATCCCCGCCCGAGCCAGATAACACCGGCCTGATATAAAGTATGATTTTTAAAACACTGATCAGGCCTAAAATGAAATACAAACCTGGGTCCTGCTAGGCCGATTTATAAAAAAAAATTATATCAATTGGCCAATTGACAAATCAAATGATTTATTTTTTAAACATTTATTCACGATATTTTCGTTCCTTTGATTCTATTTACCTAATACAGTCAAAATAATATTCATGATTTATTAAAATGTTGAAATATTTAAGAATTCACTACTATTTACTATACCTAAAACGAAGCAATGTGAAATATTTATCATTATATGTGAATGTGACCAGAATTCGCTTGATTTTTTACTATATTCATTCAGGTTACAATAACCAGGTTATACGTATTATTAAATTATAAATGTTCAGATTTCATCAATAGCATCCTCATACTTTATTTGGTATTATAAATAATGGAAAACGCCCCTTTTAAAGAAATGTTGAGTTTTTTAATCATTATATATATTATATTTTTGACCAATAGACAAAATCTCTAATATTAATATTTAGGGCTACAAATTAAAAATTAATTTTTTCAACTTTAAAAAAATTCTTTAGTAACCGAATTCGATAATTTGGAGTATTCCCCGATATATCCTGGAGGAAAACGCGATTTAGATGTATTATGGATCGATGCTTACCTCGTGCTGGATAAAGCTCTAGCTACTCTGAGTTGTTTAATCGATTCTGTAAGCCCTAACCTATAATAAGATAAATCAAAGATTTTATTTGTATTTTGCGAAAAATTTAAATACATAGAAAATATATTTTTTAAAATATGAGTTTTTTTCTGGAAAATGACATTTCTTCCCTTATTTCATTTTATTTATGTTGTTAAACGGCTCTAGACGATTTTTAAAAAAGGCTAACGCTCTCTATTAGCGAAATTTCGAGGCTTGGACAATCTTTTTCTTATTTTTATATTAAGTTAGCCGTTTTAAAAAATCAACTCAAATCGAGCTTTTAACAACACTAATTGTGATAAACCTATTTGTTTTTATAAGAAATGTACACTAAATAGTTAATAAATTTAACAATTAATCTTATTCAGTCAATAAAAGAATTTCGAAATATATAAATATCCAAAGTCAAAATTTTATTTTAAAATAAATTAAATTTATTAGTGAAATTTACGAAATCGAATTTGGACGCATAATGTATAAATTGCGAGAGCCACATTTTTTGACTTTGGACGCATATACTCTATAGAAAAGAATTTTTTTTAAACTATTGGCTTATATAATTAGATATATAATTACATTATAATATCTAAACATTTTGACCCCATCATCCCTTCATTTATTCCTTCCCACCTGTTAACTCCACAGGCTTACCAAGACCCCATAGACAAATTTAACCAAAGAATCCGCAAAAACTGCTCTCCTTCCTCCAAACTCTTCCACTTAACGGCGTCCCACGCTAAGAACATCCCGGGTCCTAATTGCCAACCGCGAAACTGGGCCGGATTAAAAGGACAAAATACCTCATCTTTATCAACTGGAACCGGTTTTAATGGTCTCTGGGGGCTAACAACTCTACCAGAAGACCGAATTTTAGAACAAAGAGAAGACCTGCATCAAGTAAAGCTTTACAGATCCTGTCCCTTTACCCGTGCACCTTTAACCCGGTATGGAAGCGAATGTATAGGGTTTGACACCCATTCGATTCGAAGACCTCTTTTTTCCTCATATTTAGGTATGCATATTTTACTTGCTTCTTGGATCTATCTATTTTACTATACTTTTAGGTTTTCTATGTGTTACTTAGTCTTAATCAATTTTTTTCCCCATCTTTATTACTAATTTCTTATTTTTTTAAAAAAATATATAATTATTCAAAAAGTTGAATCTATAAAAAACATTTAATCATATTATTCGTATAAAAAACCTTGTAAATTTCAAAATGAAAAATTTATTTTATATAACAATTCTACCTTAAATTAACTTAATTATAACTGGTCAAATTAAAACATATGATCTTATACAAATATCACATACGATTTGTGATCTATTTAATTTAATTTAAGCACATTTAATTGAGTGCGATATTACATTTTAAAATTTTATTAGTAAATTTCGACAAATTTCTTCCTCTCTAAATATACCTAATTGCTAAAATCCCACTATTTTGGTTCCATGTCAATTCAGCGAAACTTTTATGGTGAATGTTTTATGGAGAAATTTTTATCGCGAAAATATTTAACGAAAACTGTATTGCGAATTTTTTTTAAGCGAAAATTTTATAGCGATATCATTATGGGGCTACCAAATTGCGAAGACAATAGCTTGAACTGCGAAAGCAATACTGTCCAATAATTGCTAATAGTCATACTAGATACTTAGCAAAAATTTTAATAAGATATCAGGTACAAGATACTTGTATCTTTTTTTTAAAGTTTCTAAGGTCCAAGATACTTTTTAAAAACTTTAAATGGTAGTAAATCTGCAGTAGTGCAGATATATGCCTGAGCTTTCTATAACTGAGCAGTTTCACATATAAAGTATTCATCAATTTTTCTTTGCAACAATCTTGGTAATGGTAATTATTACAAGATAATAGTTCTAAATAAATTGACAAGTAGAAGATAAGGATAAGAGAAAATTATAAAATTAAATTTACCTTCCATCATTTTTACAAATTCTTTTTATTTGACTATACATAGATAATGGTGCATTCCTTTAACAACAAACGAAGTTAATAGATTATTAAATTTTTCCTGATATTGTTTTCTTTTTATTATTTAAGAACGGGTTTTTAAGTAAATGTTTTTGGTTTTCACAATTTCTTTTTGTTTTTTTCTGTTTGTGTAACTTCATGATGATTCATGTAATTTTTATATGATTTTAGATGACTTCTCTATCAACGAAACAAAAAATAAAATATTTTAGATTGATTTTTATATATCATTTTAATTTTTTTATAAATCAAATAATATAAATTATTTTAAAAAATTTCTAAATTTAGCAAATGAAATATTATGATATTGAATATGGAATGAATATGATTATTTATTGTGATTTTTAATAAAATTATATGATATACTTATAGATGCTTGACGTAATCCTAGATGATGAGTCTGTAGAGCCACTTATAAGCTTGTGGCATTCTTGATACTCTGCAGTAATTTTAATATTGATATGTTCATGTTGAATGACTTCAATATCTTACGTTTAACATGCTTGATTTATATTTGATATTGTATTCTCCTTGTGTATCATTATTTTCCCATTCCGATTCTATAATTGTATCTTCGATAACTTGATTCATGATTTTTGTAGTATTGATGGATATATGGCGATTTAGTAAAATATGGTAGTTGTTTAGCAAATTTCTTTATGACTATACGTTACATATGATGATACTATCTTAAAATTTCAACTCAGATTTAATTTTTCATTAAATTTATAATATCAGTTTAGATGTTAATACTATCTAAATTAACTAAAATATTTTTTTTAAAGTAAGATTCAGATTTAAATAATTTGTATTTTTGATACAAGATCTTTCGATATTAGATACAAATATCCGATATACTTCCCAACCCTGCTAATAGCGTTATTTAAAATATTTGTTTTTATAAATATTATTTAAAAAAAATATGTTGAAAGATCGATTCAAATGATTGGGCTTTTAATTTTTTTTACCTTAATAAATTTATATAATAATTTTCAAGCTTAGAATTGGTTTAGAAATTTTACTATATGAATATAATTTTTGCTGCTACCCTTCTTATGCTTTTCCTCAAAGTCTTATTTATAAGAATCATGCACTAAAAACCTAGGCTTATATTAGTTATTGGATTCATTATCTTGATCCCCACTGGTAAAAGTGATATCTAGGTTTTGCCACCTGATTAGTACTCATTATTTATTAATTCATCAATCAGTTTTGCATCACTAAACAAAATCACTATAATCTATATAAAACACTAACGTCTTAGACTGGTTTTTATCAGATTTTGTTTTTTGAATAATTTAATCATGCTTATATATTGGATCAAACAAATAAAAATTTCGTACAATATTGTCTAATTATTTTTAAAGTATAAATCTTATAATTATTTATATGAGACATGTATTTAGCCACTATTGGAGAATAAAAATTATCAAACTGCATTAATTTACTTTGAGCCATTTAATTATGAGATTCAAAGTAAGGAGGATGGTATGAAGTTGAAAGTTGTATAATATATGATATCGGACAGCCACGAAGCTTACATGACAACTGATTTATTTCCATAATGACTCTAATTCTTTCTTCCAGAAGCAATTACAAATTTAGGAGGTTGTATAATAAATAATTTTAATAAAAAACAGTTATAATATCGGACTACCACTGAGCTTGAATCACATGACAACTGATTTATTTCTATAATATCTCTAATTCTTTCTTTCAATAGCAATTACAGATTTATCTTATCCAATGGAATATTTTGATCATATAATCTTGAAATTATTTTTATAAATTGATATGGAAAGAAGCCAAAAGGAGAGAGAGAGACAAAAATTTACAAACTTATTATATCAGAAAGTTATACCAATATTATGTAAACAATTTACACTTGGATGGCATGCAAAAAATGTGATTGACACTCCATGAACCTTTTTTGAAATATATTATATTAGAGGTTACATATAATTTACATCTTAGGTTTACATTATTCGAATAATTGAGAATTATTAATTATAAAAAGATTTGCCTTTTATAATAAATTTAAGTTCCCGAGGTTCAGAAAAGGGAACAAGAATTTACTAGAGAAATGAATGAGAGATTTTTTAAAAAAATGAGATTTATTACATCAGAACCTAAAGAATCTTATTTCTTAAAACAAAACCTCCAAATCATAATTTTAAAATATAATTACACATGTTTTTTGGGAACTTGTAGTCCCACCTCGGTTTTTATATAATATTTTATTTATTTTATTTTATTTTATATTATTTTAATTTAGTATTTTAACGCTAGTATTATTTTACACGAAAGGAAAAAATAAAGAATTATTAAAATTTAAAAAAAAAAAAAAAAAAATTAAGAAAAATCATTAAAAAAAATTTAAAATACTAAAAAAAAATTAACTTGGAAAATCCAATAAAGTTCTAAGATAATTCAAACTTTTATTTAGAAATCGTCTGACCTTTTTAAAAAAAACTTTATAAAATGTATAGCTTTCATTATTTTGAATCCTGAGTAGATAAATAACTATGCATTTCAGAATATTCGATAAAATGATTTTATGGCATAAAACACTCTTAAAAAATTTTAAATTTATGTTAGAGGGAGGGGGGAGGGAATAAATTTATTGGAGTAAAAAATAGAACTCAAAACACTCCCTCTATACTTACGATTATGAATGAGAGAGACCATGAAAAAATTGCTAAGTTTTTTTTCATCACATCAGAAAAGTTAGCATTTAAGTCAAGTCTTACTCAGTATAATTAACAAAATGCTCAAACATTTCACGCTTGTGATTTAAGAACTTACATGGGTAAATTTATTGAATATCTTGTTTCTTTTTTAAAAATTCTATTCATTGATTAGCGCAGATACAGTTGCAATAGAAAACTTGCTATAAGGGGTTCACAAAAATGTTTAGCTGCAAAGAATTATCGATAAAAGTTTCCTTAAAGTGTATTCTCTTCAAAGTGTTCGCGATTTAGGTTTCACGAAAATTGATTTGCGATAATGGATTTATGATATTTTCTCGCTGTAAATTTTTCGCTGAAATAAATTTACTGAATTTGTTTCTAGATATTATTTTAGCTCTATATGCGATAAACGACATTCGCGATAAAAGTAACTTTTAAATGTGTTTCCTGTTAAAAATTTCGCCGAATTGACCTGATACGTTTTAAGTTCACTTTGAAATATTAATATAATTTGTTAATCTTCAAGTATTATTTTTTAAATATATTTACTGTATATATAGCATAAACATGTATACTATAATATTCCTTGTAGGCAATGTTTTCCTAACGGCCTCATTCTTATGGGGGTTTGGTCGGTATTTTCATTTAACCCGATTATTAAATTTATTTAAATATGGGGAAATTAATATTCTCATTTTTCACTGAATACATCATTGTTCATCGAAAACCGTTCGGTTAAACTATTTATAATTTGATCATAGGACGAAATAATTTAACAGTATGGAGGTCAATTTGAATTTATCGATCTTGTTCGACTTATTCTATTTTTTAGCATTTTTTTGAGCTCAGTTGTTATCTGAACATGTTTATAGCTTTATTTCGATTGAATGTGAAGGTTATAAAAATACAAAAGATTTGTCATCTTAGATAATTTTCCTAGCAAAATATTTAAATTTTTGATTTAGCGGTTCTCAATCAAAGATTTAGCTACCTATGCGGTTTTCGCCTCGAACAATTTATTATTAATTATATCTGTTGCGCACAAATAGAGGTCGGGAGTTACGCTTATTTTTTTGAGCGTTTACCACTTATAGATGAAATATTTAATAGGAGAGAGCATTCAATCTTGATTTACTAAAATCAGCTGGTCTTACTCTTGTGCATACTATATATTGGCAAATTAAATCTTTTGCTACCAGTCTTTTAAAAAAAAATTAAATTCTTAATTTTACCTAAAACAGCTTTGATAACTTTATTAATTGTGTCTTTGCGTTCTGTTAGGAAATGGTCTTATTATGATATTCTAAATGCTAGGTCTTATTATGATAT